TCAATATCTTTCTTAGTCTTCCTCCCCCAAATAAAATGAGCACAACAAGGTACTAATACCACCATTAAAAGGAAAAAAACTAAGGAAGATGTGCCAAAATACAAGTTACATGTTAGTCTATGTATTATCTCTAACAAATCTCATAAATCCTTGAAGGTCCGGAGGAATTTTCGTTGGTGGTGGTGGAAAAGAAGCTTGTTCATCACCGCTTCCGGGTGAAGCAGCATCCTGCGCAAGTTCCGCTAGCATTTCTTCATAAGCTTCATCTATCTCCGGTTGTGATTCTGCAAGTCCAAAATTTCTTCTTTCTGAACGGATCCAATCTCTAAAGAGTACTGATTTTTTTCAAGTTCTCCCTCATACCATTAGTGTTACTAGAAGCATTATTCATTGAAACCGACATAATTTTATCTCTACAACAACAACAACAACGACCCACTATAATCCCACAAGTGGGGTCTGGGGAGGGTAATATGTACGCAGACTTTACCTCTACCCCGAAGGGTAGAGAGGCTGTTTCCAGGAGACCCTTGGCTCAAAAAAGCAATAGGAGATGATATATTAGTACCATAAAAATGCGTAATAAAAATAACAACAATATATAAGAGATATGAAATATGAAATACAGAATACGAAATACGAAATACGAAATACGAAATACATAATTTTATCTCTAATGCAAAAATATCTACAAATATCTGCAACTGTGTTAGCAATAAACTTACCTGTGTGGCGTGAATTAATTATTCTATAAGCAATAATGCGCTTTTGCATTATCCACTCCTCATCTATCCAATGACTTGTAACAGTTAGATAATCACAGTCATTACCACTTCTACCAATATCAGTAGTAATAGCAATGCGACAATCTATATGAGTAAATAAATAGCGCAAATATTGTTCATATTCATGTTTATATTAATAAATATCCCTCTTTACGGTTGCGCGAGGTCATACTTTATAAGTAGGATTAAAAACTCTTCTAATATAATGCACAAAATGAGGGTTAGAAGGAAAACTATAGGGTAAGCATATAACAATAACCATTTTTGCCAATTCTTCACGATCTTTATTTGGATCATAATATAAAATGCCACCGATAACAGTGTTAATTCCTGGTTGAACTAGATTTGAACCTGTACTAGGGTTAACCGTATTATCTACACTTGTCCCCTCTTGCGCAACTTTCATTTGTAAAAATCTAGCTTTATCTCTAGGGTTTTCAATATGTGTCTAGTCAAACTGCCCGTACAGCTACGGTCTCCAGTAAATTTATGAACTAGTTGAAACCCACAAGTGTTACACTTAGCCTTATTTTTTTTCTTAGTTGAGTAAAAAATGCCAAACAAGAGGTGTTTCGGGCAGTTTAGAAGGTTGTCTATTAAAAGTAAGGGTTACTACAGGAGGGTCAGGCGTAGGGCTGTGCATTTGGATCGGATATCCGAAATCCGATCCGATCCACTCTATTTCGGATTTTCGGATTTCAAATTTCGGATTTTCGGATTGGATTCAGATTGGTATGATTTTAATCCGATCCGATCCGATATCCAAAATTATATGTACCTATATAAATACACACTAAAATTTTAGGGTTATGCTTATTCATTTTTCACACACCCCCTCACTCACTTAGATTTTCCGCCTCTCTTGCACCTCTTCTCTTCAGTGAAGATCNTAACAGGACTAGTAGGTGTATCATCTAAATCCGGTTGCGTTTCATCTAAATCATCATTTTCCTCGTCATTTTCAAAGATAGTTTCATTAGGATAAATAACATTTATAACTTCTTCATTTAATTGTTGACCCGGTGCAACATCATGGCAAAATTGACTATCGGAAAATTGAAAACAAGGGTTATCACTATCAAGAATAATAGGTGGAGGAGGACGGGTAACAGGTCTGGGTTGGGGAGCCGGGGGAAGAATAGTAGCTTGGCTACTAGATTGGCCAATTTTAGATTTTTCCTTACCCTTACCACCAAAAATATTTTTCAAAGAAAATGCCATATTAATTATAATTATACTAAATAAAACTAAAAAAAACTATAATATTAAAACTTAAGGGTTGGAACGAGTTAACGAATTGACGAACAACTTCTTGAAAATTGAATATCGTTGAAGACTTGAATACTTCAATTCACCAATTTCACAATTTTTCACGAAATTGCAATAATAAAGTAAGCAATTATAGAAGAAAATTAGAGAGAGATTGATGAATTTGTGAGTAAAAATAAAAGAATGGGGGGGTATTTATAGTTGAGAATTGGAAAAAAGTGTAATTATAAAAAGTTTGGGGTTAAAGCAAAGTTTGGGGGCCAAATGGCTATTTTTTAAAGTACCCAACGGATAAATTTTGAAGGCCAACGACTGGATTTTAAAAATCTGACCGTTGATATTTTTTTTTAATTTTTTTTTTAAAAATTAGCCGTTGGACCCCCTTAGGCCCGTTGGGCCTGGTTGAACCGGCCAGGCCCGTCGGTCCCAGGCTTAACGGTCCCGGGCTCACGGACTAATTGTGTCGAACCGGCCCACCACGGGCTTTTGCACCACTAGAGCCCAGGCTCGGTTGAACCGGCCCGTTTGGCCCGCGGTCCTGGGCCGGTCCCGGGCCAGTCCCGGGCCACAATACAGCCTTAGGACAGTATGATAATGCAAATGAGTCTAGGCCACACCTTAAACATGGTAGACCAATCGGTTCCAAGGATAAGAATCCCCGAAAAAGGAAAGAAGCAAATGCTCAAGTTGATCATAACATGGAGGCAATTGCTCAAGAGGAGCATAAAGACATAATAATTGACAAGACCTCACAGGAGGTTCTAGTAACTGGACATGATGAAAATGAAGAGATCTCAATAAGTTATGTCTCTACGGAAAAGGGTGGAACCGGAATAATATTGTTGTTGACAATAATTTTGCATATAACGTTGCAGTTGAAGTAATGCAACAAGATGAGGATCTTGAGCCAAAATCTGTCAATGAATGTAGACAGATAAATGATTGGCCAAAATGGAAAAAACGCAATTTAAGCGGAATTGTCTTCACTCGAAAAACGTGAAGTTTTCGGACCAATAGTCCGAACGCCCGAAGGTGTCAAACCAGTGGGGTACAAGTGGGTTTTTGTGCGAAAACAAAATAAGAAAGTTATCTCAACTTCTCTTATTCTACTTATCTTCTTATTTTATATTGTTATTATGAGCCACATTTTTTAACAATCTCTTTTTTTTGTATAGAGTTAATATGAAAAAATAGAAGAACCAACTGATTCAAGGTGGTCTTCGAATCTTGATACTGCATTTTAACTAATAGCATTATGATACAAATTATAACGTGTCAATTTATAGTGATAGTTTACAAGGTTCATAACCTTTATCTAGTCAATTCTAAATCCGATTAGATAGCCATTTTGGGATATCAAGTAAATCAGCCGATCTTTTCTTTTATCTCGAGAGAAATATATCAGATAAGGAGAAGCTAATTTAAGCCCCCTTCAGTAAATATGAATAGCCCCACATGTGAAAGCCAACCAACATCGACTAGTTTATTTTTCGTGAAATATATATCAACGGAATTGTGATATCGATGGCTCGAGGTAGACGCTCAATGAGCTAGAGTGATCCCATTTCACTTTATCAACCCCAAAAAACTTTGAATACAAAGTAGATGTTTGTAAAAATATTTTGAATTTTACTATAAGCATCGGTCCTACTATTTATTGTTATCATCAATAATGTATCGTTTACTAGTACCCCATGCTAACATTAGATTCACTAAATATCGCTTCGTCATCAAATTTTTCTTAGAAATTCAGGGCCGTTGGATCAATGTTACTTGAACATGATGATGGAAAAATTAAAATTTGCAAAATTCGGATGACAAATTAAAAGAAAAAAAAAAGATTAAGGGAAACGAAGCCGAACCCTTTTTTGCTTCGTCGCAAGGACTTAAGTTTTTTAAATTTTAGCTTTTGATATTTCTTTTATTGACGTATTTGTTTCCACCAACAAAATTTAGTACTATGTTCGTGGAATCGTGGTTCGGGAAAGAATTAGCTGTCACCTTTTAAGATGCTTATTTTCTTGATCATGCCTACACCTTGACATAGAAGACCGTTAAATAGAATTTCAATTTATTAATACTTCAATAATTATTTTTCTCTTTTATATTAACTCAAATAAATGTACTAGAATCTTCCTAATTGATATGACATCAAATGGTCAATATGTTAGCACGACATTATCTTTAGCTTAGCTGCAATATCTTTGTGTCGCTCAAACTATTGAATGCACGAGGGTTTATTATAATGTATGAGGATCTTCCATCTTGTTGGTCATAGCACCAATACTTGAACGCTTACTCTTAATGCTCTTCTCAAATTCACCGCTTTTGGAGTCACAATTGTTCTTGGTCATAGCACCAATACTTGAACGCTTACTCTTAATGCTCTTCTCAAATTCACCGCTTTTGGAGTCACAACTGTTCTTGGTCATAGCACCAATACTTGAACGCTTACTCTTAATGCTCTTCTCAAATTCACCGCTTTTGGAGTCACAACTGTTCTTGAATGTACGAAAGTAAGCCGTCATAAACTGATTTCCCTTCTTCTCTCTTTCACTATCATGTTCCTCACTAACCCAAAAAGCTTTCATTAAACCATACTTGGGGAGGGGATCTTTGAACCTTGTTTGAGCTCTACTTCCCTTTCTAGACAAGAAAAGAGAAGGGAACTCCTTTCTTTTCGTTTTCACTTACATACGCCAATCTAGGTCCAGGCTCGCTTGCATTCAATTCGTTTTCACTTACATACGCCAATCTAGGTCCAGCCTCGCTTGCATTCAGTTATCAAGGGGATGTCTACTTTTTCATTTACATACGCCAACTCCCGATTAGGTGCAATCGCACTTCTGTACAATATCCAACGCATATTAAAGCACTTAGTGAAATGTCCATCTTTCTTGGGGCATTGGTTGTGCTATCAGAAACAGACCATTGTATTACTTAATGTGTTATTATAATCATCTATGCAATACTATTTGTTAAACCATCAAAACAAGAAAGTTCAATAATTCAAAGTAAAGGAAAACTTTTGCTCTAATTGAGACCACTAAATTCTTTGTCAATGAGAAAATTTGGCAAGATAGTGTACAGAGCTCAATGTGGAGTGATGTATAACACTCCCTAAATAAAGGTTGCCCCATTGCCTGTTAAAAGAGCTACTTTCTCTCTGCTACTTGTGATGGACCAAATGTGGGTACAGTCCCTTTATATGTTCTGGCATAAAGTCATGCCTTGTCAAAATTCCAACTATTGGATCCCTCTGCAAATTCAAAAGAGCTAAATCTTTAGAACCAGTGTTATGAATTTGAATGCAGAAACAAAAATCAGAAACATCAAACTATATGTCCAGACAATCATATGGTAATTTTGTTATGCTATGGAAGTACAGTCAAACTTCTCTATAACAGTCGTGTTAGTTCCAATATTTTCTGGATGCTATGGTGAAATGTTGTTATAGAGGACATATATTATAACATAACATAAAAAATTAGTTCCGATAAAATTTGGCTTTTATAATGAATGACTGTTTTATGGGATGCTGCTATAGAGAAGTCTGATTGTATTGTCATTTTTTCGGATTTAACTTAAGAATCTTAACTTGTTGTAGCAAGTAAGTTATCTTAGTATTTAGATTCTAATCCTACTTATTGTGGACATTCACATATATTTATCTTGGAGGGCGGGGGATGAAAAGGGAAAAGAACAGACTTACCCCGGTAGTCTTTTTTGGTACAACACACAAGTGTCTCAGACCAAGTTGTCGAAAAAGGATTGCAGCTTTGGCCAGAGACATGGTTTCCACTACTGTGTATGGAGATGTATTTGTGACAGGATGGAGATCTACATACATTTCCATCTCCTCATCGGTGAAGGACAAATCCTCGAGCTTAGGCCCCTTCCCCGATCCTGGCTTAGCGAAATCAAACGCATGAAAACTCCTCAAAATACTGGAGCCGCTCAATACACTTAGTTTCGTGAATTTCTTTGCTTTGAGCAAAACAAGTAGGTGTGACCTTAAAGCAAGTCCACAGAACTCTGGCGCGTCTGAGAATGGCGGTGCATCAATCACGGGAAACCCATTGTGTCTAGTAAACTTCAAAGCATGTATTATGTTCCCTACCTTCTCAACACCTGAAAATGTAATTAAAGGCCCTGAACAAACATCTCCTGCAACTAATTGCCTCATGTATGGTTCGGCGTGTGCTTCCAAATAAGGCAAGCCTTTCATTTTCACAATCTGGTCATAGACACCATGGTTAAAACAATCAGCCACAGTCTTTGAAATAAGGAGCACAAGCATCACCAATGGAAGCATTAGCAGGTCATCGGTGAGCTCAAGTAGTATGACACAGATGGATACCGTCATCCTCATAGTACCCCCGAGGAAGGAAGCAGCACCAAGGAGAGCAAAGAGGCCGTTATTAAGATTGGATATCGAACCCAAGACAGTCCCAACAAAACGTCCATAGGAGGCACCGGCAAGTATGACGGGAATGAATAGCCCAGAGGGAATAGCAATTCCATAAGTAACGACGCCAAGGCAATATACCCCAGCAAAGAAGACAAAAAGCGAAGAGAGGTGAAATTCGCTGGAATTATCTGAGCTAAACAAATTGCGGATGGCGTCATCATTGGTATTCATAAACAGGGAGGCTAGATCATTGTAATGCCCCGCTGGACACTGGAAATTCTTATAGTTTCCAGAGCGACCTATAGTAGGGCACTTGTCCTCCAAGCCTACAGGACATGGTGTGCAAGTTGCAAACCACGGTAGACCATACGAGCAAAGAGAACTCAGGATTGAAATGGTCATTACGAGCAAGACTTTGAAAGCAGGACCCCTCCTGCAACCCAAGCACAAAGAATATTCAAATTCTCACATTCCTTATTGGAAAGGAAAAGCAAACAGGAGAAATCCAAACTAATTCACCCAAGAAAATTCAAATAGTAGAAGTAAAAGTAGATAAAACCAGAGAAAAATAGAAAAAATATGGAGGTAATTCGTAAATAAAGCATATCTTTGACAAGCATCAAATAACTTGGGAAGGGAAGAACATTGAGAAATAGGTTTTGATGGAAATAGCAAAGGATCCCTTTAAAATTAGCTTTTTCAGACAAATGTTCGTGAGATCTGATTATATTCATAAGTTACGCTTTTATAACAGTTGCGTTTATCTACTCCAAATCCCATCTGAAAAATAGTGGCATGAAAGGGAGGGGTAAAGCAGCAGCATTAAAGAAGCTCAAGACATGCTTCAGAAAAACATCGTGTATGCACAAAGATGAGTTGTTTAGTAGTAATAACTAGTAACAGAAGCTGAAGTAACTAAACATATTTTGTAGCAGAATTAAGATACTTACTCATTAATGATGCTGTAAGTCCGGAGGACCTTGTCCACTAGATAATTATAAAGGCTTCCGAGAAGGCCTCCAAGAACTCCAATTAACAACACTGCCAGTACATCTATAGTGTTATAATTAGGTGCTCCTGAATTCACATCATACATTATCAAACCTCCTTGACCAAATAGTCCACATTTCCCGCTCCGACAGAATACAATGAAAGATCTGAGCACCATAGCTACTACAGCAGTCGAGAAGAAGGTCCTCCAAAGAAGAGCACTTCGCCACCTAAAACAGGAAATAGAATAGTTGAATATTTAAGACTGCAAGCGTTCTTACAACAATTACAAGCCAGTAATCAGTAAGCAAATGAACTTGAGAACAATAGCATCATCGAATGTATTATTGGTAGGTATGTTTTCCTTAGAAGGTTCATGAGAGCCACAGAACCACATGATGTTGAACCTTTTGACACTCCTGAGGATACATAACATCTACCACCTTACACATTCGGCAATCTAAGTTTCGGGTTCATCTAAAGACAGTATCCTTGGGAATGGTTTTGGGGTCCATAGTTGCAAACAATTCCTGCAATCCTAAGTTCAGAGCTTATTGACACGGTAACTCCCATTCTTCCTGAGTGGGTCGAGAGAGACATTAAATTTACAGTATTCCAAGCAAAACCCCTCTGAAGCAGAATTAGATACGTCGCAAATTCTTCCTAGTTAGCGCCAATTTATTGGATCATCCAGTAAATATAATAAGATACTAGCAGTACCAAGCTTTTTCAATTTAACCTCATTCAGAAATCAAATACACACACAGGGGAGAGAGAGAGAGAGAGAGAGAGACCATGAGGCTACTTCTTCAAGAGCAAAAAGAACACCACCGACTGGGGCTCGGAAAGCAGCTGCAACACCAGCTGCAGCACCACAAGTGATCAAATCTCTACGGTCACGGTCATTTTTGAAATACTTCAGCCACTTCCAAGTCAGATGATACTTGCGGGAGCCGCCCTGTCCAAGCAAGTTTGCTATGCAAGCGCCAGTATGGACCATGGGTCCTTCCTTGCCAACAACAAATCCAGCAGAAACACCCAAAGCAGAACCAAATATCTGTCAGATGTTTAAGAATTAGTATTTCCAGGAATGATTTTCAGCAACTGAGATAATTAATGCTAAAATAAAGCATAACAGCATTTAAAGCCTACCCAACCACAGAACCACAAGCAGAAGTATCATTTGAGTTTGCTAGAGGAATGACAGTTGGCTTATATACAGCAAAGGTATTAAAGCATCGACCCTTAAATTTTTGATAGTTCAATGTAATACAACAGACATCGAAACCAAAAGAAAAAAAATGAAATGCTATCATGGATGGTTTATGAAATCAAAGGAACAGTTTGACTGATGAATATAAAAAACATGTAATGTAAATCAATCACTTTTTCTCTTCAGAGGGTCATTCTATTATTGCTGATTTGCTGCCATGATGTCGTAGTTAGGCAAAACAACAAAGAATAGACTGGAGTGCAGCATACAAAAATATGCCTGCTTATAGAGTGTTAGAATATAATGCTTTTATGAATGATGAAAAACAATTATTTGGAGGCCCTGATTTCCCAATGCAGAGCCTCACCACCACAAGCCTCTGGCCAGTGGCCTCTCAACCTGGAGCAGCCATCCCATCTCCTTTAGCTCAATCAATGGTTTTCTTTTGACATCTGCATTTCTCTTTATCAAAAAAAATCTGCATTTTTACCATGCTCATTTTGTGGACATGCTCGAGTTTAGCGGCACATCATTCACTCTCATATAACACGGTTCGTATTGCTACCATGTTAAAGAATATATATCTTTCTATCGCATAATATTCTGCACCATCCTCCAATTCAACCATCCCAATTTAGTTATGTGCATTAAATTTTCATCTGTCATGCCTAGAAACTTAGCATAGATATCAGAATTGTGACTAGTAAGGTCAAAAGCCTTACTTCAGTTTGATAAGAATGCCCTATCACCAATGTGCTCAAATATGGAAACATGGTGTGTGTGTGTGTGTGAGAGAGAGAGAGAGAGAGACCGACCTTCACAAATAAAGTACTTGGAGCTAAAATGGAATGAGCATCGATACCATTGAGATATGCTTTCACTTCAGGTATTCCTGACCCTGCAGCTGCTGGTGCAATAAATGCACATAGGATTCCAGCACAAGTCGCAAGAACCAAATTGCAACATGCATAAGCAGCAAATCCACGGAAATACCTGCAGTGGAATTAAAATCACTTTATATTATAGTTTGAAAGAAGTAAAGGAAATAAACCAGTCACTATCCTTACTAACTAGAAAAGTTGCTCGGACTTCACCACCCCGATAACAATGAGCAAAAGTATCCATGATATCTGTATTAGCTCAAATTTTTCAGACATGAAGTCCATGACTTCATTTTACATTTTTAACCTTAATAACAAAAATGGAATAAAGCAGATCCAAGTTTCCATCCAGACGCGATTTTTTTTTAAGAAATTGAACTACTAGTATAAAAGACTCTCTAACACCTAAAGATTCAAACGAAAAGCAAGACAAAGAAAAGTTTGACAAAAAAGTAAATATCCTCGCTTACAATTGGTAACTACTTTTGCTTTCTTTGCACGTTCTTTCATCAGTCTCATATTCCTAATCCACAACTATTTTTTAAAAGTAGCTAAGAAAGTGTGCACAGTGGCGGAGCCACATGCACTCAAGGGGTATCAACCGACACCCCTTTGTCGAAAACTTACACTGTGTAGGTAGGTATTTTAAAAAAAAAATATATGTATATATACTATGTATTGACACCCTTAACTTCGTGGTGAGTTTATTTCTTTATATTTTGACTCCCTTAATGAAAATCCTGGCTCCGTCACTGAGTGTGCAGGACTACTTAAATGTTCTGTTGTGAAGTTTGCATACTGATAAATGTGTCATGCATCAGAAACAATTACGCAGTTAGTAGATGGTCGAGGTTCCTAAGGCACCTTACATATGACATCATCGAGGTTCCTAAGGCACCTTACATAAGACATCATCACACAATAGTTGCAACTCAATCTTCAAAAAGCTTCAACTGCATTTTTCACGGTTTGGTAAAATAACTTGAACGATGTTGGTTGCAAGTTTTGATATTATGAAAATTTAGGATAAATCAGTTCAAAGTTACCACAGAAGCTATTATCATGAATGGAAGTTGTACATACTTGTCCTGAAGCATTAAGTCACTAATGAGCAGAAGCTTGAAGCCAGCAATATTTTCCACTGCTATGTTTAAAAAGAAACCAACAAGCCCTACACTCAATCCAATAAGAAGCACAAGTGTCCACTTTAGGAATATATATTGAAATATCTGGACTTTTTTCCTAGATCTCCAATCTTGCTTGAAAAGGTCATTTTCAATAATCCTGCAAAAAACGAATTAGCAATGCCAAATCAGAGAACTTCGATAAATTTTTTAGTTAAAACCCTTGATTTGAATATGAACAATGATCTTACGACGGTACTGTACATGTAATTAGGAAATATCAATGCCGGATGCTTTGTACATTCTTTGATCAATAACAAAAGCAAACAACTTGAGTTAAAGTATATTTCTACCTAGCAAGCTACTGATCTATGCATTTTGATTTTTCCTAGTTAAAATGGGTGAAGCTGTTACAAAGTTGATATTTTTCTTCTCCGAATCAGTGAATTGTTAATTGTAAGCAGTATCTGAGGGACAATACCATCCAAACAGAAGGTTTGACAGCGCTAACTTAAAGCAAAAGCTCTACGCATAATGAGACTGTGCCCATTACCACACTTCACCCAGAATTTCAACCCTCAATTTTATTGCTACCTTGTTAGAGCAATGAGGATGACTCCAACTATAAACAAACCCTCCGGTTTGTAATTAACAACACAGACTATGATTTAGGCATGACGGTTCTTAATTTGCTATAGCTCTTCTATAAAGGGCAGCCTGGTGCACAAGGCTTGTGCACCATACGTCAGGTCCGGGGAAAGGCCGCACCCAAGCGTGTGATGTAGACAGCCTAGCCTAAGGCAAGCATTAGTGGCTCCTTTTATTTAATTTTTCCCTTTTTTTCTTCCCTGACATCAACCAAAGAAATACCCTAACGCAAGCATTAGTGGCTCCTTTTATTTAATTTTTCCCTTGTTTTCTTCTCTGGCATCATCAAGCTACAAAATTCTTTTATCAACGCCGGATTTCCTGATCTAGTTAAACAAAAAGAAAAAAACTTGGAGAACCAATTAGCAAAAGATATAGGGAACTGATTCAAAAGCCATGATTTTGAACTAAATGATCAGACATTCAACAAAAATACACAACACCGTGCAAACTACTACTACTACTTATCTTTGACTTGCAAAAAAAAAAAAAAACATTCAACAAAAAGATGCAACATGCAAATAAGATAGAAGAATTAGAGGGCAAAAAATAACCCCATAACTATTTACACTGGGAAAAAATAACCAATTAGCAGATAAAGATAAAAGAAAACAGAATCATACTCATAATCAAGACTTTCAATGGGGCAAACATTGGCTCCTATAATAGCAATTTGTGAGGTATTATTGACTCTGCTTTTAGAACTAAGCAATGGCTGTCTAACACCACTCTCAGAAACCGCTGAAATATTCCTCTCCAAATCTTTGCCATTCTCCATTATCATCACCCCAATTCCTCCTCCTTCATTCTCTATATCACCTTGATCTTCCATTATTACCCTCTTTCTCTGTATATATCACTGTACATGAATCTATACATAAACCCCACTTCCAAGAAATCAACTTTCTTTGAATTTTCTCAAATTTTCTATGTTACAATATTATGTTGGGGATGCTGAAAAGAGAGAAAGAAGCGGGAGTTGCGTGAATGCTGAGGATTTTGTGAAGAGTCAGCGCTAATATATATATGTATATATATATTGAGCAAGATGTGTTGATGATTGCCGTAAATAACTTTAAGATTAAGATTAGAGAAAACCTTAATAATTTGGGTGAAATTTCGTTTTTAGATGGCTAGCCCAGGCCACCTAGGATTTCCATAGTCTAAATCGAATATTTTCTTTTCGTAGATAAAACCAAATTTTATTAGGTTAACCTAATCTTACGTAAAGTACTCATTAATAATTAATAATAAATCAAGAAAGCAAAGTTACCCAAAATTATTGTAGGACCAGACAAGATTGGGTTCCAAATTAGTGGATTAACAAAAAGTACCAACTATTGACTATTGTTGAAGTATTAGTCTATTGGTTAACACTTAACGAACTTAATCAGTGTGAAAATTATCAAGTTAAGAGTCTTACTTAAATTATAGATTTATGTCTAACTTTTATTTTTATATTGATTGTTAGGTAGTATTATTAATTTCCCACGAATTTGATATTACTCCCTCCGTTCATCGTTAGTTGTCAAGTATTCTAAAAATAAATTTTTATTTTTATTTATCACTTTTCGCATATCAAGAAAAAAATAATTTACTTTTTATGATTTGCCCTTAGAACTTGTTACTCATTCCAAATCATTTTTCAAATCCATTAAGACTATACACCAATTATTATGGGTATAATGGTAAATAATATGCTTTATTTATTTATTCTTAAGGGACGTGAAAAGTCTAAAGTGAACAAGTAAAAGTGTAAGGACAGAGTATTTGAGAAGGTTTACTGAAGGTATATAATTATTTTTTTTGCAGCAATCAGATAAAGGCAGTCTGCAATAACAAATATCTAACTAAATTAAGTCTAATTCAATTAACTAAACAGTATGGTAAACAATGTATACTAAGAAATTGAAATATTTTAAAAATTATTTGCGCAAGGCTCAAGATATGAATATTTGGGCAAAGTTATGATGCGAAAAATCGACCAAGTAATACAAGATACTATGCTCCCGTTTGGCTATAGAATTTAAGAGGGTTTTTTTTCCAGATTTTATTTTCAAATATCTGGACGTTTATAAATTTTAACTATTTTTTGGTAGATTTCGAAAACAAAATCTTCGAATTCCAAAACAACTGAACTAGAGTGGTTTGTCAAGTTTTCTACTAGCAAAACTTTAAAAAAAATTCAAGTAAAATATATGTTCAAACATAATTTTAACTTTAAAAAATTATTTTTCATCTCATTTTCAAAAACTCATTTTTTTTTTAAATTTCAATCATATTTATATCCGAGCGCTAGCTATAATTGTATATTTATGGATGTCTCATGGTGGTATATACTAATAACCGAGTACTTTTTGAGTTTCCGTTGTCAAGTTCTGAAATTTATGACAAACAAAAAAGGGGAAACAACTCATCAATATTTACAATCTTTTTCTAGTGGTCACTATCACAGTTCACATGTCCCAGTTTGCTACTACTATAGTTTGCCACCTTTGGTTAAAGACAGGAAAAGAATAATTAAAGCAAGAAAAAGAAAAGGATAAGAATAATTTAGGTGCACATTTTTCATTAAAAATACTCTTCATAGTACCAAATTGGTACTAGTATTGATTCTAAATCCTGCTTGTTTGTTTATTTTGAAAATCGCATTTACTCATAAATTCATCGTACGTTACCTAGTTTTAGGTTCGTTACTAGCTATTACAATTCTTTTTTAGATTAAAACTACAATGCAAGCTCACATAGTATTATAGTTCACATATATATTAAGTTTTAATGATTGTTTAGTTATTAGCTCCTATTATTTACTTAAGCAATTGCATATATTTGTGTTTTATACGAAGTAAAAATTATGGCAACTAAGTTTAAGAACTAATTTAAATTCTTGTATTAAATGAACATATTGCTCCAACCAAACAGACGTACGGGTAGCCGCCTAAAATATATTGTCAAGGAAAATGGCTCGTGTCTTTGAGTGCAGTGGAAGTCCTTTTTTTAAAAAAAAAATTATCTAAAAAGATAATGTTATATATTAAATCATATCTGAGATTACATTATTAGAAAAGGAGACTTTTGGATGTGGGACGTGGTTCCAGAGCACGAAAGTAATGGGGACATACAGTAATTGCACATGGCCAGAAAAAAATCATTAATGCTAAAAATGCAATACACGATAGGGAAATTAAAAATACAAATATTTTCCCGAAAGTAATTAAGTATTAAAAACAATTTTGAAGGGAAGGACTGACCGAGTCATTAATACATTAAACCCATGACGTTATAGTTCGAATAGGGTTGTTCATTTGGATTGGATATTCGAAATTCGAATCGATCCGTTCAATTTGGATTTCAGATATTTGGATCGGATTTCATATTATGTTTATTAAAATTTTGGATATTCGGATCAGATTCAGATTGGTATAATTTAACCCGATCCGAAATCCGAAATTATTAGGGCATGTATAAATAGTAAACTTTAATTTCGGATATTCAGTACTTCCTTTACAGCTTCCTCCAAATTATTACCTTTATAATCGTTGGATTTAGCTATATTGGCACCAACCTCTTTTACAAAGAAAATATACATATGAGTTCGCAACTTTGAGGCATAATAATCCGATCCGAAATCCAAAATATTGATCTGATCCAAACTTTGAAATCCGATCCGATAATAATTCGGATTGCATTTTGTAAAATCCAAAATCCGATCCGATCCATGCACATTCCTAATTCGAATTGTAACCTATAGGTAGTGCAAGAAATATGTTTTTTATCTAGGGAATTTATAAAAAGTATGCTAAGAAGGCAAAAGCATTTAACGTCTAATACATCAAAATATATTATCTTTATATATACAATGTAATTTTTCAATAAAAGTAGTTCGAATGATTCCCTTCCGCTCCTCTAGCTCCGTCCATGTCGATAGGCCATTGAACTGTTTCTCCGTGTCAATATTGAATCTGCAATCAATGTTCATCTTTTGGTCCTAATCGAATTTCTTAATTTGTATCTGAGACGAATTATAAGTTCCGCGGCAAATTCAGAACCCAAAATTCAAAATCCTGATTGTGCCGCTAAAATAGAGATGGTTTATCTGGAAAGCCTTGTTGAAAATGTGGCATGAAAAAAGGGGGCACCCAATTCTAATATTAAGTCCCAGCAAATCCACCAGCAATTTCTTTTCATATTTTTCTTCCTATTCCATGAGTATATTTTATTTCAGCCATTCAATAGTTCTTATGTCCATATTATTGTCATCATGCTGTCACCAACCTCTGCCCTAAACACCTAATGACAATTTTGGGAAAAGCAACCAACGAGTCAAAAAAGGATGGTTTACTGCTTTACTTTGTCAGATGATATTATTGTTAAGCAAATCCATGTGTTTCACGTTCTTTATTGCCTCACCCTTTGTATTTTATTTATATTCATTTTAAATAGGTTTAAAGAAGGGTTACAAAAAAAAACCAAAATAAGGGAGGTGGACGTAATATCATAAACCATAAGGAAGGTCAGTGTAATAGAGCAAAACCTGGAGGGAGGTTTCTGAAATTATCCATTATATTTTTAAAAATATATGCCATGTATTTTTTGAATTCGTATAAATACCCCATATTGGTAAGCTTTTACTCTCGAAAATGGCCTAATTGATGTCTTTGTCCCTTTTGTTCTTCGTAATTGTCCGTTCACTTAGAGCATGTTTGGAAGAATTCCTTATAATTGCACAACATGGTAACTACATAGACATGTTGGTTTGGCATAATGTAATAAAATGATATAATTTGATTGCACAAATATGACAATATTTTTCTATTTTAAAATAAATTAATAATAATATCAATTAAATAAATTATTTTGAATGTATAAATTAATAAACTCAATATGTGATAAATATATGTGCATATAAGAAATATTAAATTTTATTTATTATGAGGTATTGAAAAGTCACATTGTATATACACTATGCAATTACTACCAAGTCTCATCTCTCTCTGGAAAATTAGAGAACACAATTAGTCCCCCTGTAATTACACTTAGTTTCATGAGATCAAAAATTATTTGGTCGGACAAATAATTTAAAACCGTACAGTTACATCTAATTATACAACAACAACAATAATAACGACCCAGTATAGTCCTACAAGTGGGTTTGGGGAGGGTAGTGTGTATGCAGACCTTACTTCTACCCCGATAGGATAGAGAGGTTTTCGATAGACCCTCGGCTCAAAAAGACGAAAAGACAAAAAGAGAAAATATATCAGTATCATCATGGAAATAATAACAACAACATAAGAACCATTGAATAGAAGAAAGGTAGAATAATGATTAGTAAATAATGCCCGGCACTATGAAAACAGAAGAGTAGTGTAAACACAGCACTGACAACTAACAATCTAAGATTAAATCCTATCAACCTAGCCTCACACTAGAAGACTAAATATGCTCAACTACCTCCTAACCCACAACTTTAATGCTCGACTTCCACAGCTTCCTATCGAGTGACATGTCCTCGGAGATCTGATGTCTCGCCATATCCTGCCTAATCAACTCTCCTAATACTTCTTAGACCGCTCTCTACCTCTCCTTGTACCCACCAACGCCAATCGCTTGCACCTCCTTACCGGGGCATCCAAGCTCCTCCTCTAAACATGCCCGAACCATTTGAGTCTCGTTTCTCGCATCTTGTCATCAATAGGAGTCACGCCCACCTTCTCCTGAATATCTTCATTCCTAATCTTATCCATCCTATTGTGCCCGCACATCCACAACAACATCCTCATTTCTGCTATTTTCATCTTCTGGGTATGTGAGTTCTTAATTGGTCAACACTCAGCCCCATACAACATGGTCGGCCTAACCACCGCTCTATAAAACTTACCTTTGAGTAGCAGAGGAATTTTCTTGTCACACAGGACTCCAAATGCTAACCTCCATTTCATCCACCCCACCCATATACGGTGTGTGACATCCTCGTTGATCTCCCCATCCCCATGGATAACTGACCCAAGGTACTTGAAACTGCATCTCTTGGAAATGACCTGCGATCCAAGCCTTACGTCCATGCCCGCTTCCCTCGGTTCGGCACTGAACTTACACTCAAGATATTCCGTCTTTGTCCTGCTCAACTTGAAACCCTTTGACTCAAGGGCCTATCTCCAAACCTCCAACCTCTCATTAACGTCACTCCGTGTCTCGTCAATCAGAACAATATTATCAACGAATAACATATACCATGACACCTCTCATTGAACATGGTGTGTCAGTGCATCCATCACCAGAGCAAATAGAAATGGGTTGAGCGCAGATCTTTGGTGTAACCCTATAACAACCGAAAAATGCTCGGAGCCACCTCTCATTGTCCTAACCCGAGTCTTAGCTCCATCATACATGTCCTTAGTCGCCCTAATGTAAGTAAACGGCACACCTTTAGCCCCTAGGCATCTCCAAAGAACCTCGCTACCGTAAGTTTATAAAAGTAAGTCTGTCATCTCCGCTTAATATGGGACTCTCCCATCAATACTTTATCGTCCTCGTCTTTGATTCACCTCACTTTATTCATATCCCGCGCCTTCCTCTCCCTCGCCTTAGCCAGCCAGAATAATTTCTTCTCCCTACCTTTGGCCTCTAGATCCTCGTACAGACGACTAAAAGCCTTAGCCTTAGCCTCCGTGACCGCCAGTTTAGCCTCCTTCCTAGCTACTTTATACCTCTCCCTGTTCGCACTCCTCTCAACCTCGCATGTGCTCCCTACTAACTTCAGGTATGTCGCCTTCTTTGCTTCCACTTACCTTGGACCACTTCATTCCACCACTAGTCGCCTTTGTGCCCGCCAGCGAAACCCTTCGAGATTCCCAACACCTCTCTCACTACCTCCCAAATATAATCCATCGTGGTCGACCACATAACAGTCGTGTCCCCGCTACTCCTCTAGGCTCTCACGGCCGATAGCCTCCCTTCCAACTCTTGAGCTTTATCCTTAGTCAAGGCTCCCCACCTGATCCTCAGTCGACCTCGTGCAGTCCTCTTCTTTCTCTTCATCATAATACCGATGTCCATCACCATGAGCCTATGTTGCGTCGCGAGGGTCTCACTTGGGATAACCTTGCAATCCTTACAGAGCCCTATGTCACACCTCCTAAGGAGCAGTAGTCAATTTGAGTCTTCGCCACCGTACTCTAAAAAATAACCGAATGCTCCTCCCTCTTTGGAAAACTAGAGTTAGCAATCACCAACTCAAATGCCCTTGTGAAATCCAACAGTGAAGTTCCTCCTGCATTCTTATCCCCAAAACCAAAGTCACCATGCACCTCGCCATAGCCGTCTGCAGTCGACCCAATATGACTATTAAAATCCTCTCCTATAAATAACCTCTCAGCAGGTGGAATAATACACACAATCTCATCCAACCCTTCCCAGAAGCGCCTCTTGACCTCCTCATCCAACCTGTTTGCGACGCATACGTACTAACGAAATTTAGGGTGCTCTCCAACCACCAACTTAATAGACAATAACCTATCATTCCCCCGCCTAACCTCTACCACAAACTCTCTAAGTTCCCTATCCACCAAAATACCTACACAATTCTTACCCTTCAGAACTCCAAAGTACCATAGCTTATACTCGTTTGCGTTCCTCGCCCTCGATCCTACCCACCGAGTCTCTTAGACACACGTTATATTGACTTTCCTCTTCTGTAGGATCTTCACCAGCTCTATAGGTTTACCTGTCAATGTACCTATGTTCCATGACACAATTCTCAACCTACAAGCACCCGTGTACCCCTTACCTCCCTTGCCTCCCGTCCTACCCCCTGACCCCTGCCCTACCCCAGCCCCGCCGCATGGCTTCCCCGAGGACATGGCCTTACTCTACCATCCCAGACTACAGCCATTATACCTAGAACAGACTGAGGAGAATCACTTACACACAATAGGCAAACGGACCAGACTAGGAGAAAACAAGTTGAAGCTAATAGAAAGCTTAACACTAATGCGAACTAAAAAGGCAACAATTTAATTAACGCAAGGGGAATGAGAATAGGAATACGGGAGGTACCAACTCCCGATAAAGAACTTGGAAGTTGTATTTGGTGTACACGACACTGATGCGACACTTAGCAGCCCTCCTATGATGCGTGCCCGCTCCTTGCTCGTCTCCAATAGCCACCACATATTACCTGAAAGACACAACAAACACAAGAACCAAAAAAGGTGCAGCCTTTGCTACCACCGGTGGAACCCCAACGAAAGCAAAGAAGAGTAAAATAAGAAGAAATGAAGGTGGAAAAATAATGGGGATATTTGGTATAGGAGAAGTCATCGTAAAATCGGGCAAAAGATCTTTTTGTTTGAGCTAATTAGGATCAATTGACAATCGGAATCAGAAATTTGGATGAAGTATTTTTTGTTTCTGGAAATCGTGAGTGAAAATGATTAAATACAATTTTAATCAAAAGATCAAATGAACCAGAAATTGATGCGATTGAGCAGAAGAAAAACGGATTAAACAAAAAAACTCAAAACGAACAGATCTGGAGAAAAAAATGATAGAACACAAATTGGATAGCCTTAGCCTTGTAGTTTGATCACCCTCGAGCCAAGAAGTGCCTTAATTGATGTTAGAACAGAACAACAAGATGATAAGAATTAGAAATGATCAATATACTACTTCCTTTATGCGTGTTACAACATGTTTTACAACGTACCAAACCTCCCTTTATATATTAGGGGAGTCATACTATTGATACAATTCTATAAAAGGTAACCAATCTCAGGATTTGCTAATTAATCAACGTCTCCTTGATGCGTGGCGAGATTTCTGCCGTGATCTCCAACCGATCCTAGATATTTCGGCCTTTTATTATTCGGCTCGACAAAGTTTCCTCGATTTTGATTGATCTTGGAGTCACGAGCTCAATGATTTAACTTTGTGCCCTAGTTCGATATAACCCAGGCTCGAGCTCTGACCTGTCATGTTTCAGCCCCGGCTGGTCATATAATGGACGAACCCGGTTTTAACCATATACAAATAGTCCCTTCATTTTTTCGGAGAGAAATGACGAGAAATGATATGAACTTTTGAGCCTTGCTTTGATAAACCATGACGTAAGCGACAAAAGGTAATTGAAATGTCCTGTCAATCCAATCTCTAAGGCATTAAATATATGTTAGTTATTGGTCGGCCACTATGGGTTTTGAACCGTCATTTGCAAACTATAAATATCCTAACTTTCATTCATTCAAACTTTTGTACCCAGATTTCTTGAACCTTTTGCAAACCACTAAGTGTAACTTCTTAATTTCTTCTTCTTCATATCTGCTTTAAAATGGTGAAAACTTCTAAGCTGATCCACATAAAGAGATGACCTCTTCATCACGGCCTGCCAGTGATAAACCAGCGGCGGAGCCTCCTCTTGAGGCATTTATTCCCGGCGGGTGCTCGACCGGTGCCGATTTCAAGGTCGAAAAAACTTCCTCTATACTGGGTCGATGTGAGCCGGTCTCGATATACATATATTCAATTACCGATGGCCTCCTTCCCAAGGTCAAGGAGGATTGCAACTAGGTAGATAAACACGTTGTGGTGCCTATGCCTGAGGAAGCAATTACTACCCACGTGGAGGGTTTTTTAAGTGTTTATACTTATCCCTTCACGCTGGGTCCCGTAGAACCAATCATCATTGCCTTCTGTAAGAGGTATGAGGTGACCCTTGGTCAATTTTACCCCTCTTTATGGAGGATAGTAATTCTCCTCTGCTTTTTTGTAAACAAAATCGAGGGATTTCCCTTCACTCTCGATTATCTCATGCGCTTGTATAATCACCGACTCTATCGAGGAGGATTAATAAAGCTTGCCCACCAGGCCACTAAGGATTCATTCTCGAGCATAGATGAGGATTGGGACAGAGTTTGGTTGGGTCGATTCATTCGAGTGAAGACCTCAGACTTAATCCCTACTTAGGACATGTCATTTCCCGAGTAATGGAACATGAAACGTAAGTATAACTTCGCTTTAAAGATTTTGTTTATTGTTTCTCCATTTACCTTCCTTTTTATCGGTGTTTTTGCGGTGCAGTTATAGCTTGGATGCCGAATGCAGCTCCTCGAATCAAGGAGTGGTTCGAGGACCTTGTGTTATAGAGGCCATATTCCGAAAATGCATGGCGCAAATTGTCGAAAGGTCAGTGGGAGGCCCGTAATCATGGTAAGTTTTCTTTTCTGATTTAATAATGTTTGATTTTCTCCTCGCGCTGTCAAGTTCTCATCGGTTCCGTTTTCTTTCACATGTCTCCCTAAGGATATTGCTATGAGGACTCCATCGGGTAATGAGGATGTGCCTCTCGATTCCCCTGCTCCGAAGTAGGATAGTGAGAAAAAAAGTAAAAGGGCCTCGAGTTCTCCAGGCTTGGAAAAGAAGAAAACAAAAAGAAGCCTGGTGCATAAACCTAAGGGTAGAACCAGTGCTTGGGTGCCTCCTTCAGACTCACTCTACCGGTTCAAGGATGAGTCAGAAGAAGAAGAAGAACAGAACTATGAACTGGTTCCTCATGTGAGGTTAGGTGTCATGATGCGAGGGACCTCCGAACCGGCGGGAGCCGAGACCGAATTATCCTGACTCGGGGAGGCTGATGAAGGAGCTTTAGCCGAAGCTTCTGAACCAGAAGAGGGCGAGGTCACTTTGCCTCCAGATAGGAATGGCGACGATGAGATTGTAGCAGGTTCTTCTCGGACAATAGTTGGTGCTCCGAAGGGCGTACCCGAAGTGATAGACATCTCTGGTTCACCATTATTTACTGAGTCGATGATCGCCGATGTTCAAGCGTTGAAAGAACGATCAATCGAAGATCCATAAGGGGCGGTAGACTCCTTTTAAAACTTTTTTGATGACGTAGACTGCACTGCCATGGAGGAGGTTGGGTGATATACCTGTACTAAAGAAGAGTCCATTATCGGGGATGAGTGGACCTACCTCGAGCCCAAAACTAGTCAACCGGTTCCCTGCCCCGAATTTGAATCCTGACGGAAGTGGCCAGTCGTCTTATCCATCTCGGAAAATGCTCGGGTTCTCTATGCCCCCGTAGGGGTAGTTAGTTACCTTCATTGCTTGGTAACCGAGGAGGATCAGGCCAAGATGGACGGGGTAGAGGTGTGTTTCTTGTTCAATGAAACTTAATAAGCGTTGAATCAGGTACTTCAGATGTTTCTTGATGGTTTTTGGTTTATATTTAGATCAGTCTATATGTGACCATAACTTCTTTCTCTATGTTTGTAGGCCTCAGTACTCCATCATGAGTCATTCCTCCGCCATTGGGAAGAGTTGGACCAGTATGAGGCCGAGGTCCGAAGACTTACTAAGAGAAAAGACACTTACAAGCTTCTCAGTGAGCAAAGAGAAGAGGATGCTAAGGGCCTTCATGATGAATTGCAGGTAGCTCGGAAAGAGCATGCCGACCTGGCTGAGCAAGTAAGAAGCATTTTTGCAGTTAGTAAAGACAAAACAAACATGGTGACTAATGGTCCGAACCCGCAGGTCCAACAAAAGATTGGCATGATCGGGCAGCTCCATGAAGAGGTAGATGCGGTAAAGACTGAGGCCAAAGAATAGAAAAATAACATGGATCATCTGGCCTCAGAAAAGGAAACTGCCCGGGCCCAACTGACTTCGACTGAAGTCCAGCTCCGAGGTATAAAGGAGAAGTCCTTGGTACAGGCCAAGAAGATCGGCCAAAGTATCTAAGGCTAATGCTGATGAAATGGTGGATGTTTATAAAGCCGATGCCAAGGTTGCTCAGGTTCGAGCAAGAGACATCACCGAGTATGCTAAACGACAATCTCGAAGGGAGACCCTTGAGGAAATCCATGCTCGAGGTTTCGACCTATCAGTGGAGATCGAGAACGCCAAGGAGCTCGAAGCTGAGGCTAAAAGGTTGGCTTATCCCGAAGATGACTTTGAGGGTTTAAGCGAGTCCGAAGGCGGGAAAGATCCCGAGGGTGAAATAGTTGTCTCCGATGAGGGTCGGGCCATTTAGGCCTTTAGAAGTTTTTGTTTCTTGTTTTTGCAATTTTGTTAAGGTCGTTAGGCCTTTGTAAAAATTTTATCGGGCTGTTTAGCCCTTCTAAGAAGAATTTTATTATGAATATATAAGGCTTTCTTTCCCTTTCTCAGCTTTAAAATTTTTCTCTTTGCTTTCTTATTTATATTCACAAAGATCAAAATGCCTTAGCACGAAATAATCAAGTTATGCTCGAGGGTTCTTTCAAACTTTGCCTTTTTATTAATCTGCTTTAAGGCATTTTTGGGGGTTCAGTGTTACCAAAAATTTCCTTCCAAAGTAAGTAGCTAAGATTGTAGTTCGCCGAGAGTAGCTTTTAGAACCATTTATGAAATATATTTTTTTGAAGGCTTTATTTTTATTATGGGTCTCAGATGTCTCTGAGCCGTGTTAATGTGGCTGTAGCCTTTTAGTTCGGGTGTCGCCCAGTGGGCTCGCTTTCTCGAGTTATCTAGGCTTGCCTAAGATAATAGTCCTCGAGTAAGAGTGGTTGTGGCCTTTAAAATTAGGGATTTGCTTAATAGGTCTTATGCCCTAATGTCTAATAGCTTGAGCCATTCGAGCTTGTTTTTAGATGGTAGTCCTCAAGTGATCGAATAACTGTTTAATCTTAGGTTAAGGTATTCCTTGGGCTCATTTCCTTTAGGGTATTGGAAGCAGGGAATTCCATAAGAGATGTAAATAAGAAATATTTTGAAAGACAGGATAATTGCAAGGAAGACATTTCTTTTTATTCTTGTGTAAAACAATTATACATGCGTGCATGCTTTGTGCTAGGGCTCGAACAATCTATATAGGCATGGTTCTTTTGACCGTTTGGCCCTTACAATAAATCCTACCTATTAAGACCCTTCCATCACGAAGTAATTTCCTTGCTAACGTCAATATCCGAGGGTAATGCCCCTAGTATTGAGGTTGATTATAGAAAAAACCTCGGATACTATTGATGCAATCCGATTCATGATCGGTCTTCCATTCTAAGTTAGCACGATCCACTGTTGCCTCGTTAAAAACCTTGCGAGAAAACTCACTTGAGACAAAATCGGTTCAAGGAAAAAAGAGTGCAACGCATGCTTTCAGGCCTAAAACTTCGTGTTGCTTCTGTCGATTACCTACAAGTGTTAGTCCGAAATAAAAGAAAATGAATAAGGTCTTACCTTAGCAGTAATATTGTTTTAGGTGAGTTACATTCCAATTGCTCGATAGTTGTTCTCCGTTTACCATTCCGAGCTTATAGGAACCTTTCCTGGTGACCTCAAGAACCTAG